GTGTTCAGGAGATATCTTTCTCAGCTGGGCTATTAAATGAAAAGCTGAAACATGCCTGTGATGCTGAGATGACTGCTCCACAAAATGAAAGCGTAGAGCTTCACGTGCAAACATTTTCATGTTGCCTGCTGTCCTACTTGGTTGATCACAGTCTTACTGATAAACGTTAAAACCTCCCCTGTGAAAAAAGCAGAGAGGGAAATGCCCATAAATTAAAAAAAAATTCCCACTTTGCACAACCTCAGTTTTGAAATTTAGCTCAAACGCGCAAGTGAATTGGTTTGGACCGCCTTAAATTCCTGTGGAAGGGTGGATAATTTTGAGAGACGACGCAAGATAAGCCAGGCAACTGCTACACCATTTAAAAAATCCTGACAACGTTTCCAGACCCAGTTGGTGCTCCTGGGGCAGCTGTGCGCTTCCAGGGAGCTGCATGCTGACGGCTATGCCAGCAGGAAATGTGGCGTGACCTGTGGCGAGCCTGTCAGGTGGGAAAAGCCGCGAGCAGAAGATTTCCATGGGTGGCTCTAAGTGTCCCGGGCAGTTACGATGTGGGCACGGACACAGGAGCAAACGAAACCCAAGGAAGCAAACAGGAGCAGTAGGAGCATCCTCTTTCCTCCACCTGCGTAGCTGCTCAGCGCTTCTTATTGTGTGTCCCTGCCGCCAGGCTGACAGCATTGCCTTCTTCCCCGAACGCTGGGTCTGCGTGCATGAAACCTGGCTGCGAAGTAGAAATGTTTTTTGGAAAGCATAATATTATTTTAATCATAAATTATTTGGAAACTCAATACAGAAATAGCTTCAGATCACTTCTTCCAGAGGGGTGTTTTTGCAGTCGGGGTCTTTATCAACTTCTCAGTGGGAACTGCATTAATATTGCCACAAAAATGCAAACAGTAGTGCCTTTGATAAGGCAATTTGGCATCTCTTAAGCAGAAAGATGTTTTGTTTTCCTAAGATACAACACTGTTTTCAGTGCAGGGACCTGCCGTATGTGCCAGCATATGGAAAGAAAACACCAGTTTTGTTAACGTTTGTGTTCGGAAGCCACGGGGAGGGGATGTAGGAGGCGGCCGCCTTTGCAGTTGCAAAGTGATCTCTGTTATTGCAAGGGGGACAGCACAGGAAGCCCAAAAGTGAGTGCCGGTGGTGGAGATGCTGGTGGCCTGCAGTCAGCCTCCCAGGCCTAGCTCCCCCCTAGAGTGTTCTGCCAAGGGCTCTCCACCTCCTCACCTTCGCTTTAGCTCTTCCCATCACGTGCCGGAGCAAGGCTGGTCCCCGCCGCCGCCTCCCTCCCAGTGTAGAGTGCAAAAGCTCTACTGGCCATACAGTAGGCATCTTTGTGGATACTGTGAAAATGCCTTTTAGTACTTGCTGGTGTCCCGTGGGTATTACATATTTGGTTAGTGCATTATTTTGATTTTTAGACTGCCTTTGGTTCAAGAATCCTGAAAGGAAGCTGTTGTGCAACTGTTTTAATCTGATTTTACAAGCCGATTCCAGCTTGATTCCCAGCACAAAGAAACAAAGAAGAGCTCAGTTGTATTTTTTTGTCCAGAAGTAAAAGGCCCTCCTCCTTTGATGATCTTCTGTAGAGTGTTATGTTTAGAGAGTGATTTGCTATTGTTTAAATTTAATCTCCGTAATTACATTGGGATTGGATTAATGATGGGTTATTTTTCTGAGTCATTCTTTTCTGGCACTCACAGCTATCGAGCATAAAGCCAGGTCTTCATCGGATGTAAACTGGCGTCGCTCCACTGAAGTTAGTGGAATAAATCCACTTTATATTGTGGCGGCCCAGATGTGATATTATAGCTGTTTCGAAGAAAGCACCCTTTTGGAGTTTGCTGGCCTTGAATTTTCTTATTTTTAAGCTGTCTAGGCATTAACTTCCAATTGCATTATACTTATGGTAGCACAGCTAGCCATTGTCTCTCGACAACCTCAGCTGGACCCAGAGGGATCAACAAAAGGTGCAATGCCAGATTCAATCATAAGTATCTTGACTTTTTTTTTCTGTTTAAAAACTGCTTTTTATCACCAAGAGTGCAAGTGGGAAAAGTTAATTACTGATGTCCGGTGAGCTTTTGTGCTCTTATCTATGAGAATAAACCTTGCTTTTGTTGGGGATGCTGTACTGCAAATCTGGGGGAGATGGCTGGGAGGCAGAGGGACTGCTCCCTTTTTGAAATCAGTTATTTTTGCTCATTCTGCTTTCCAGAAGGGGACAAGGAGGGAGGGAGGGGCCTGGGGAAACCTGGCACGTAGGAGAGCGGCAGCAGGGGCAGTAGGGAACGCGCTCGACGTAGGGGACGGATCTGTCACCACGATCAGGGTGACAGAAGGAAGCAGGCTATTCTTAGAGACCCTGAGGGGCTGTGTAGAGTTGCTGCGATTGTGGAAGGTATTTGAAGACGCTGGGCTGAGAGCAAGGTGGGGAGAAAGGATCTCCCCCACCCTTGCGCATGTTGGGCAGGGGAAGATTTGCTTTCAGACTTTTTATTTTAATGTCTCACCTGAGTTTCTTCAATTTTAAAGAATTTTGTTGCTCACTATTTGTGAAATGGCATGCTAATAAATCTTAGTTTGGAGAGTGGGAAGGTTTTGCTTTCTTTTGAGTCCTTACTGTAAAGACAAAATGGTCAGTCCTATCTCTAAGCAGTAGTGGATTTGGGGTGTCACTGCAGTGGGTTAGACTGCACGTATCTTTAGCCTGGTATCCGACTGACAGTGGCACGTACTATATGTAAGTATGAAAACCAGACAGCAGCGATCCTTTCCCTGATGCATCCTCACTACTTGCAGGAGCCATCTGTTTTTGCTGCTGGCCTGCTGTTGCACCTGCGGGTCCACTCCGTACAACTTAACTTCTGTGTCCTTGTTAACCAGCAGGAAGTAGGTGTGAAGCCTTTTAGTCTTCTGTTCTTCCCGTTTTAAGACATTAACCTGGTACTTTGTACTCTTTGGGTTGTCCTCTTTGCTCTTTTTTACACAGTATTTAGGAAATACTGCTTATTTTAGTAATAAAGGTCAGCTTTAATCTTTAATAGTAACACTGCTTCTACAGTTGTGATCGTCTGCCAGTGAGGCGGGACTGGTTTGGGAAACTTGGTGTCTTTTTTTAGATTGACCTGAGAGATTTGGAAAATACAGACAAGACTTCAGGCATATCCTGGGCATCTTTTCAAAGTAAAAAGGATGTGCTGCAGGTCCCATCCACGTAGATCCCTGGGTCTGATGGCCTAGATAAGCACTTTTTGCGAAATAGGAAGCAAACTGTAAGGCCCAAATGAAGTCTTGCACTGAAGTTGGACATCCCTCAGCTTGGATGCACGAAAGGCTTGCGTGCCTGAAAGCTTGTCTTCCGCCCTCCCTCATCGTGTACCAGTTTGTCTTATAAAAGTACTACTAACTTCTGTATCAACCCTGCCCTATACTTTGATTCTTACTGCCTTTTGCTTCTTTCTACAGCAACTGTGACCAAGGTTGAGGGTATTTTTTAAGCTTACATAGATTTTGTCGTGTGCAAACTGTTGACAGCTATTATTGAAGAAATTCTGGTGATGCAGCTGTAAGGTTGCAGCAGTAGATCAGTCATATATGTACATGGTCCTTTTATTAGAGGGGACTGTTGGAGCTGTGGTAATGCTTAAAGTATTTGAGCCCTAATCCACTGCTTCATTGCTCCAGATGTGATAAATGCTGTTGACTTAATGCAGAAATTGGTGACGTAAAATGGAGAAATTGCCTCTGTGCTGATTATGTAGCTATGGTGGTGAATCTCTAGTTAACAACTTCAGTTTTCAGGGGCTTTCTCATTTTATTAGGGAGGGGGTCATGTGTGAAGGCTGAGAAGAAATGAGTAGAAATGGCTTATATTTGTACTCAGACTGAATTCATGAACGCTTGTGCAAAAGTCACTTTGCATAAGCAGGCTATGAATACTGGTTGCTTTTGCTGGAGTGTGGTTGCAGTGGTCCTGCAAAACCAAGTCATCATTGAAGATGGTGGGGTGCAAAAGATTCTCAGAAGTTTCAGCCTTGCTGGGGACAGGACAGATGCAGAATGTCCCGTCCCAAATAATCATATCTCATTCATCTGCGACCCCACTCCCCTGCCCCTTCCAAGGAGCCAGGTTGTCGTAGAAATTATAATTATTTAGACAGACAATTTATTAAAAAAAAAAATTACTTTTGGAGCTCTAGGTTATGAGTATGCACGTTAGAATTTTTGGCTTTAGCTCCTAGAGTTTGAGCTAGAGATTTTCTTAAGCCATCATTGAGATTCTCACCTGAGCACCTGACCTAACGCTTTTCTCAACAGCTGAGAACTGGAGAAAAACACCGAATATCCTGACACTTGGTGCTACTGTTCTGAGTGAAAATTGTGTTTACTTGGGAAAGACTATTGTCCTGTTATTTCTGCATAACAGTTACTTCAGATCCAGAAAGAAATGCTGAAAATTCCTATGCGTGAGGAGAGTTTATTTCCATGACTGTCATTAGGGTTACATTTCCTTTGGTCCAAGGTGTATGCGACACACTCAAATGGAAGTAGGATGGTATAGTTACCAAAATAGATGCATTGTGTTAATTTCTTAATTAATTTTTTTTTGGTGCAGTGCTTTTAAAGTAACAAGTATTGTAAGCAGTATGCTATTTTTAAACCAAGGACATTTTGTGCTGAAATTGGCTATTGCAACACTGGGTTAGAATTAGAATACACAAAATTCAAAACCACAGTAACCCTAATTTTGCCATTCTTGCCTTTTTAACTGCTCAACAATAGTGTTGTGTTTGTATAGCATTTAAAAATATTTGTTAAGGGGAATGTAAAGAGCTACTGGCAGGCTTCTCTGTTAACTGTTTGTGCATGCTCAGCCGCTCTGCTCAGAAATGAGCTGTAATGAAAACTCAGGGGCGAGTACTCTGGTGTCCACAGCTCTGACTCTCCTTTGTGTTGCAAGCAAAGGAGCAGCTGAACCCCCAGCCAGGATGGGGGCAGAGACCTGCGTGGTGGAGCAGAAAGTCCCTTTGGCTCAGAGGACGTGCACCCATGATGGGCTAAAACCTCTGATTGCTATCTCCTTTCCCAGCTCGCCCTGGTACGTGCATGCCTGGATCGGTAGTCTCCAAGGAGCTACTCCGGCAAACGAGTAATGATGTTCAGGATAATACAGTCTGACCATGAGGATGAATTTTATACGGCTATAGTTCTTGTCATGACCCTACAATCCCTGGTTTTGCCTGGCTTGGTCCTGACATTCCGGCCAGCACTGGGGAGAGGTTATGGGAGGCCAGCACTGCTCAGGGCTGCTCGCTTTCAACCTGCTCCGGCTGTGAGCTGCCTGATTTTCCCTGCAAGGTCTTTACGAAGTTGGGACATGCATGCGTCCATCTTCGGATGGAAATTAGCTTTGGATTTCACATATCACCGATCAGACTGACCTGAATGAATTCACGTGGGAAAAAAAGAAATTGGAAAGCAGCTTGAGAAATGATTTCTCCTTTTTGCTGTTGCCTTGCATTTTGGCATGCGCTGTCTGCATTTTGAATACAAAGTCATCTGATGTGTTGTAACGCGATAGCAATACAGACTGGGTAAATCCTGTGAACCGGCAGCTTGGATCTTGCCTGTCCAAATTTTACTGTTCTAAAATTTGACTTCTTTGTTAAAAATGAGCAGTTTCCAGGGGGTAAAAAGCCCCCAGAGAAGAACTGTTGGCATTTTATATTTTTAAGCTGTCTTGCTGAATGAAAACAGTTGATTATTAACTTGATGGGGTGACAATGAGTATATAGAACTTAAATATCTCACCACTCCCACAAAGAAAAAAAAAAAACCAACCACCATTGTATCATGGGAAGATACGTAGCCAGAAAAACTTTCCAACTTGTTAAACTTTTATACTTGCTTCATACAAGCTTAATGTAGGCTTTTTTCCATCCTGTGATGTTGTAGGGATGCAACTGAGGAGGACTCCATCAACTTAACAGTATTTCTTTCTGAACGTGCCTTTCTTATAACAGAAGAAGCTAAATCACTTAATCTGAAGGATTAAAAAAAGGTTTCCTTGTTTGTGTGTTTCAGGTTGTTTATTCTGCCAAGCCTGATAATGAAATCAGTCTGAATGTTTCCCCTGTAATCAGTTTAGTCAGCTTCTGTGATTGTGCAGGGTATTCGGACAAGGACGGGGATAAAGGAAGAAAGTTTTAAAAACAGGAAAATACTATTGTAAACATATCGGGCAAGTTATAAACAGGGAAAGGGTACTTGGAGGCAAGTGTCGTACCTGCAGCTACTTTTGATGCTCTGTGGTAGATGTTTTGGTGGGTTTTTCTTCTTCTTGTGGCTTGTGTATGACTTTTTAGAGGAGGGGTAGGGGAAAATACTGACTTAAAGGACTAGAGTCTGGCTATATCGCTTCTAAACTGCATATTTTGTAGTGGAGGCGAGTGGAGGTAAGGCTGCCGTAGCTGACCTGAGGTCGGAAAGAAACAACAAAAAGCGACGTTTGGGCTCATTTTGAGCCCCGTGCCGGGTGAGACAGCTCTGCGCTCTCCCTCGCGCGCTTGGAGAGGCCACATCGCATCTTGACGTGGGGCCATAGCTGGCAGGAAGCGTCGAATATTCCCTTTGCTGTTTCTCTCCAGTGTAATTTTAGTTTTCCGACACCCTGGTGCGGTTCTACTGCTCATCCTGGTTGTGTCCTTGCCCTTGCTCTTCCTGATCCTCCTTTATCGTCCTCAGCCATGAGCCTGGGGGAAAGCCGCCTCGCTGCATCTTGCCCGCAGGTCAGCTCGTTCCCGCAATGGTGTGGGAGGGGATGTGGGTTTCAGCTGGTTGTTGCACCCGCGAGCAAGGACTTTGCAAGTTCTAAATCGAGACTCATTGCTTCATATGCATGTCTCTCCAAACCTGTGGATTTAGACATTCCCTCACTATTAATTACATCCTCTCATCTTGTAGCAGCAAGTAAAAAGGCCAAGTTGGGCACGTCGTTCTGCTGCAAGCAGCCGAACAGAGTTTCTTGTTGGTTGGATGCTTGTGAGTTTCTGAAAGTACGTGGCCGCTCTGTTTTGGGAAGCGTGTCCTGCGGTGCTTGCATCGGGGTGGGGAGTAACCAGGCAGCTCGGGCCCCTTCTCAGAGGGCATACACACAAGTCATGCCAACCAGTCAAGCATTGCCAGAGCCATTCCCAATCAAAAGCAGGGGTGCGTGCTTCAAAGGGAAGCCCAGTTTGCTGATAACTGATGGCCAGTGAGGTAGTTCCTAGGTGAGCGGTACCATTGTTTGCTTCGGTACAATCTCTGATGGAGATGCTGGGTGTTACCACCTTCTTTTGGGAAGCCATAGGGTCCGGTCACCCGCGTTTGTCAGTCGTTTGGCATCTAAACTGCTCAGACAGATGCAATGCGAGACTGCCAAAATTGGCAGCGGCATCTGATTCTGACAGCGGTTTGAGAGTTTGCCTGGTCGCCCCATGGCAGCTCTTAACGCAGCATCTCCAAGTGCGGTGTCCCACAAAATGCTGGGCAGCAGTCATGCGGAGGTGAAAAGATTTCCAGGCGAGCTTCAAAGGGAAGGATGTGACTAACTGTCTCGCAGGGAGCCAGGACGTGGACCCAGCCAGATGAGGCAGCTCACATGAAAGGGCTGCCAAAGGAAAGGGAGAGGACACAGACAAAACTGGGACTAGGGGATGAGGAGGAACAGGCAGTTGGGAAAGGTAGAGGGGAAAATCTCCATGGGCTGTTTCCAGTGGCCAGGAGATGTATCTGCTCTCCGGGGAGGTAACCTGTGGGTAAAGTAACGAACCTCAAGCACGTTGGCCATCGTTCCTGGCTCCACCGCAAGCCTCTGCTCCCTGTCCTTGGACAAGTCACTCTCCCGGTGACTCAGTATCCCAGCTGTAAAAAGGGGATTGCTGCTTACCTCATGGGATGTTGTGAGAGTAGTCTCACGGTCGCCTTTGCAGTTTGATGTGTTAAGGGGGGGAGCAACAAAAAGTGAGCACAAAGACAAACATGAAAAGGAATCTGTACTTCCCTCGCCGCCTTCTCTGAATGTAATCATGTCCCTAATGATAATATAATGGTGACTTATTCATCATTGACATATACTCCTTCAGTTGCACTGGTGGGAACAGTTTTTTGGTTTTATTTTTTTTCCCCTCAGGGCTTTAAAGATGTAATTATCTATGTTTATATAATATGTTAATGTTTTAAGCAATTTCTAATAGAAAATTAGAAGAAATAACGAACAATAAATCAAAGTCAGACTAAACCAAGATGTAATCAAGTAATACAAAAGTGGGACTAGAAGTAGAGTTTGCAAAGGGGGCCTCAAACAGAGAAAATGCAAATCCTGAGGCCTGAAGAAGGAGGGGTTCTGGTTTGCGTCTGTCTTAAACTCTATACCCGATAGCGTACCTGAGGAGGGCTAAGGCCAAGAAACGAAAAGGGTCACTCCTCGGTTCTCTCATTCTCAAATAAGCTTCTGCAAAAGGAAGGGGAGCTCTGGTTAACTTTAACCCTTGAAATAAATGTCATGTTAGTCTTATTCTGCTCACAAGGCAGTCTGATGGCTAATGCACAAACCCGGGAGCCAGAAAACAGCAGTTTTTAGGACAGTTAGGGAATTGGTTAACCTAGTGCTAACACTTACTTCTGTCTTTATGTGCTAAAGCAAAATGGTGCTAATTGTCCCCTCTGTCGGAAAAGGGCTGTGAGGCTTAAGGAAATGCTACAAAGAACATGGAGATCCACAGGTGGAAAATGCTGGGGGCAGTCACAGCTTCAGAGTTTCACACAGGAGCAAAGTGCACGGTCATATTTCACCTGTCAAAGCTGGCTTTTCTTTAAAAAACAGGAAATCTCGAAGGCATTGCCTAGAGAAGATGAACATTCATCTTTTCTGAGCACTGTATTTGAAAGGCTTTAGCTGCATAAGCTTTCCTGGCACTCGCCAAGGCTATCTTTGGAGAAAAAAATAGGATTTTTGTTTTTTTGAAGGAACAGGTGGCAGCATGTGGAAACCTTTTGTTAAATTTTAGTCACGGTTCCTTTTTTTCCTTTTCTTTCCTTTTCCCATCTGCAGTTGAGTATGACAAGGAGTTCACGCCTCACCAGCGGCATCACAAGGAGTTCAAGTTTAATTTGTCTCAGATTCCTGATGGCGAGGCCGTCACAGCCGCTGAGTTTCGGATCTACAAGGACTGCGTTGTGGGGAGCTTTAAAAACCAAACTTTCCTTATCAGCATCTACCAAGTGCTGCAGGAACATCAGAACAGGTACGCAAGATGGTGCTCGCTCTGTGCCGCCAGCCGCTGTCCTGGGAAAGGCTGAGCTTGTGCATTCATGTTGAGAGGACTGCTAAATAAATACCGGTTTTGTTCACATTAATGGGGTTATGTTATTGCATGGTCCTTTCCTTGTGGGAAATGGGCATGGTAGAGTGCAAAATGGACCCCAGCCGGAGAACGTCCACGATATTGTAGCCTAGGGTGTCACTTAGCTGCAACCTTTGTGTTGTCTTTAAACAGAGCAAGAATCTGATGTGAGGCGGTAGATTTTTAAATGAAAGTTATTATGCTGGCATCGCTCCTGTGTACTGAAATACACATATCCCCTTTCAACTTAATACTACCAGCATAAAAAGCATAGCCTGTTTGAAAAATACTGGTAATTAGTGCAGACTCGACCTGCTCTCAGGTGGACTTACATTAAAGTAAATAAAGCAGAAGAAAATTCAGCATGCTGACCACGGGTACAAAATCCCTCCTGGGCTTTCAGTGGCAATGAGAGAGGCAAAAGAGAGGCCGAATAGAAACTGTGACACATAAATCCAAACAAGTGTAAATGGAGTGATTAATTTAAAAAGGGTAACGTTTCTGATCGGGGAATCATGCAAGGCAAAAAGATGGAAATACATGGTCAATTAAATGTCAGAGTAATGCTGTGGTACAAAAGTGTTTCATTACTTCTGCTGAAATGTGTCAGGACTGTAACTGTTCCTCTGCTGCAGGCAGAAAAAAAGAAATTGGAAACAGCAGTGTTTAAAAAAATCACCATTTCTTTCCTCTGTAAAGGCTTTCTGGGTGTTTTCCTTTCTGGTCCTTCTTTCTCCAGCCTTTCCATTGATACCGTTTGGGGGGATCCGCCTTTGGCTGTGAGGGCAACACCAAATAGTTAATGGTTGTTCTGTGGGGAGCGTGGCCTCTGGGGAAATGGAGAGAAATACTTGGATATGTAAGTGATGGGGAAGAAGGTGTTAGTTTTAAAAGGTCAGTGTTCCCTTTGCACTTTGAGTTGCGGGTTGCTGGAGTGCCTCCTGGGGTAAAGTGCTTGCTGGTTAGGATGTTACGTCAATACCCACTCGAAGAGCTGATGGAAGTCCAGACAGTCATGCAGATTTCATAGATGTTAGCTGTATTGTTCATTTGCAGACACATTGAGTAAAGAATAGTGAGTGTTGGTCTGTTTTAGATTTCACAAGTAGAGATCCCACCTCTGGAGCTGGAGGCAAACCTCTGCCAAGTGTCTGTGGAAGCGATCGAGACGCTGCTCTGGGTCGGTCACCAAAGCAGGGCACAGAGTATGTCAGGTCTAAGGTTGCCTCTTCTAAGGAGAACTGTCAACTTTTATATGTATATAACCTTCTTTCAGGGTAAACTGAGCAAAGGAGTAATGGGAAAGAGAATAAAAGTACAGGATATGGCCCCTAACGTACCCTGTTCCTAACAAATTTGCAAACTCTTTGTTCCGCAAGCGGCTGTCAGTTCTGTGTACAGCAATGATGCTGGCACCTCGTATCTTTGTTTCAAATACCATACCAGAAACATACCAAAACCAGATTGCGCTGTGAAGCTGCGACGCATGTCCTTTGGCGCTGGGCGCTTTGGCATCTGCACGTGCTGGGCGTCTCTGGGTGCTAGAGGCCTCCCTACGGATGGAGCAGAGGCAGCAGCTTGGGTGGGGGTCACCAGGGTGGTCTCTCTCTAGAGCTGGCGAGTATTTCGGGTCTCTCAGTTCCCTTCTGTCGTGTTCCTCCTGCCGCTGCCGGCGGCCGTGACGAGGGGATCCCGCTGTTGGGACTGGGAATCGTAAAGCGGCTTCCTCTAGGTCCAGACTGCCAGCAATTCGCCGTCCCTCCTGACATGGGCTAGGCGTGAACCGCTGACCCAGGGATGAGTGTCTGTAGTTCATTACTAACCTCTGACTCATCCAGTCCCTCAAGGCTCCCTTTTTGTTTCTTTTTCTTCTTTATTTATTTATTTTTACTGGTGGGAAGGAGGGAGACGTTTGGCTAAAGAAACTTGAGCTTCGGATGAGTCTGCGGGACTTGTCACACCATCTGCGCAGAGATGGCCAGAACGTGGCTCACAGATTCTTGCAGCTGTAAAATAGATGTGCCCTTTTCCGCCCTTTTTCCTTTCAGCTTAAAGGACTCTCTCATGTACATGTAAAATGTAAAAGCACATATGAAAACGTGTGCTTGTGTATAAATATGTGCATATGTATGTATTCTCTGTATGTATCTGTACATAAAATTGTATAGATATTGTCATCTATATTAATTGTCCTTTATATATTAAAAATATGCGGATGTTGAAAGACAGTTAAAATAAGATATTAGAAGGTGCTTACCACTCTTCAGTGTTACCTTCAGTTGAGGTTCTGACTCCATAGGCTGCTGCTGCTATAGATTCAAACATGCAGCCGTGTTGGTGACCTGGGTGGACTTTGGCCTGTAAACATTCTTGAAAACAAATACTAAAAAGTTGTATTTAGCTCTCCACTAATATCTCTGCATGGAGGGGAAAAATACCTCAGATTCTTCTGGTATGCCTTAAGGAGCTGTATTCTATGAGTGGTTTTGGGTTTTGATCATCAGTTCACTTAGTTGTTTTACTGGGGGGTGGGAATCCAAAGTGCTTTTTCCTCCTCCTTTTGTCTCAGTGGATTAATTTGGAATAGAATGTTTTCTTTTCCTGTTGAGAACACTAGAAGGTTAAATTACAAAAAAAAAAAAAAAAAAAGCCCGATTTTTTGAAGGAACTTGCTAAATATTTGTAAGGCTTCTGTTGCATTTTAGCAGACATCTTATGAGCCAGAAAATAACAGCTGCCTTTGACTTAAAAAAAAAAAAAAAACAACCAACTAAAAAATGTTGTGTCACACTTCCTTTGGACTAATGGTTTGAATAACAGCCTGATATTTCCTGACATTTGATGACATTTTATTGCATAAGGAAGTGACTGTACAGATCTGGAAGTCTAGCTGGTGAACTAACAGGTGAAACAGAAGGAGTTGAAGTAGCACCTTTTTTCGTCTTGTTCTGCTGACAAATATTCCTTCTGGTCAGGAAAATTCATCTCTGAAGGCCACAGAAAGTGCCTGTTCAGTCAACATTGGCAGTCTTGAGAGAAAGTTCAAAGTCACCATGTTAATCTTGGCTTTTATGAGGTTAACAGTTGTCTGAGGCGATTATTGGTAGCTAATAAAATACTTTTGGGTGCAAATAATTCTTAACAGGGCGCAGCTGGCATGTATGGATTAAAACCAGCAGTGCGCAAGAGAAAGGCAGCGTGCACCTCTGAGGGAAAAAATAGAAAGAAAAAGAAAACTACCTGCTCCTCTCAAAGAAATGAGTTTGGGAGGGCAGGAGATAAGAGAAAGATTCAGTAAATACAAATCTTCACCAAAGCTCACAGCCTGGAAGTATCCCTTGGCTCCGATTAAGTGTAATGAAGTGGCTTAATTCAGTATTACGTGAGCAAAGAAAAAAAAAAAAAGTTCATATGGACAGTAAGAGCATAAGTGTGTGACTCCAGCCCAGATGTGCGCACTGCTGCACGGAATCGCAAGGCACTGCTGGCCGTTCCCTGATGGCTAAAAACAAAACCAAGCCTGAGGCTAAAATTTCTACCAGTTACTGAATTATCAAACTGATTTTTGCCACTGTAGACAAGGCTAAAAGCAAGGATTATATGGGCCCATTCGAGACTGTCTCCTAGATAGGGGTGTATGTGGAGAGAGCACGAACGATCAGAGATCGATGCCGATGGATATAGCATAACCGTTGGGGAGAAATTTGACCCTCTCCTCATTCAAAGCCATCAGAAATATGAAAACGATACTCATGGAGGCTCCAGGCAATGAAATGCACATTGAGGACAGTGTGGTCTAAGTACATTCTCTCTTAAAAAAGAAAACATTTTAATACTGACTCACTTGTGTCAGTAATATTTTCATCTCCCCATTCCTTCCACCCTTTCGTAAGGTAAAAAAAACAGTGCCTAGAAACTAGGCTTTTGTTTTATAACCAACCCGCAGTTAATGGCCACGTTTTGTCATAACACAAACTGCTGGAGTTGTCAGTGGGACGCTGCGAAGAGATTAATGAAATCCTCAGGATAGGTCAAGCTTGTGGCCAGCCATCAGCGGTGTGCATTTCGGATTGTGTGGAGAAGAGGCTTCACCAAACAAATCTGGTTTGCTCTGGGGGGGATGACTCTGGGTTTTGAAATGGGCTGTGGGCTGTAGGGGCTGACGTCGGGAGGGGGAACGGGCGATACATCCGCCGGATGCTGCTGCCCTTCAGCTTCTGACCCCCCAGAGTTTAAGAGACTGTGCTGTTTGAAGGCTAGGGCGGGATTTTTCTTCTTCTTTTTTTTTTTCCTTTGCTATGTGCAGAAAGTGGGGAGATTTGCCAAAGCACCAGTTTAGGAAGACAAGCAGCATCAGCTTCCAGGTGCTTGTCCCACCTCGGCTGTATCTGAGGGGGTGCTTAGTTTCAGCAGGCAGAAGCTGCACAGCATCGACTCTCCTCCCTTCGGTGGTACCGAGGCACAGCTAAGCCCCGCACGTGGGCTTGTTTCTAAGGTGTAGCGCTGATTTTGTGGAAGGACCAGCAAAGGCCTCTGTGACTTCTGATGCCTCTTGGGAGTGGATTGCCAGGTAAGCGAGACCTTTGCAAGGGAAGGGAAGAAATGAGTTTTTCCCTGGAAACAGCTCATTAATTTCTTTTTCTTTCTCGAAACTTCCTTGCTGTCACCCGGAGAGGTGTCAGGTCAGGACTAGGGAAGGCAGTTTATGGTTGATCAAAGACGTTAGTCCTTGGTTTGGATCATCAGTATGTTTTCAAGTGTAAATATCCTGCTAATGCAGACCTCAAAACACTCCCACACTGTCTAAACAACTGATCTATGAAAAACACAGTGGCCTGTGTTAGTGATCAAAGGAAGATACGGTACCTTAATGGTCAAAGTTTATTAAACAGTTTCGTTTT